GCGGACAAAAACGGAAATTGACGTCCAGCTGACCGATCCAAATAAATAAAGAACGAACAAAATTTGTGTCAGTTTAGGTTGCCGCGTCGGAGTTGCCCTTAGGTCGGACGAAGGCGAGGACTTTTATAGGCTAGGTTGAACCAAACACTCGACGATGCTAAGAATAGCGCCCAGATGTGGACGTGGTTTGCAACAGCGACCAGGTCTGGACGCTACTATTGATGGCGTCCTTCGTATTTATTGAAATTCTAACTTATCATTACTAGTTTCGGAGTTACAGCATTATTATTTATTATTAATAAAAAAATCGGCTGCATTTTATAGGGAGTATAAAGGGTGAAATCCACTCTTTAAAAAATAAATAAATCCATGCAGATGATTTCTAGGCATACTATTCGACATCAAGTGTACAACATTCCCACGCGAAAGAAAACAAATCCCCCGGCATGGCGCCCCATTTATTGGACAGTCGATTGGACGCCATGGAGCGATCGTTGTCCACCGGGGAGAATATGGGCCATAATTTATGGCAGAATTGATCAGCCCCCAACTGAATTCCGACCGTCGGTAGTCATGATCGACCCCCCCGCCTTCGAACCGATGCATTTACCAGCCATGACGCCGCAACCGCAGTACCCCCACCACTTGATATCTTGTGCAGTGATGCCGATGTGCGCGTCCATCACACGAAGAATGACGCCAGAGATCTCGGCGTCACGCCATGTGTAGTGCAACTGTGCGAGCATACCTGTCTCCGCGTAGTACTTAACTTCGGAACCTGCTGGACGGGCCGCAAATCCGCCTCCTAATTTCGATTTGACAAATACCTGTACCGCGTGAACGCTCGTCCAGGACCATGGCCGTGGCCGTGACTTTGCCGGGCTGGAAAACAATGCGGGGAGAAGAAAAGTCACACGTACGGTTAAGCTGACCCAGCTTGATTTCGAGCAGTGCTTTGGCAATGCCGTGGCATGGGCCTCCATCATTTTAACATAATGCGAGTGAGACCTTTAAAAAAATTCCTGTATAATTATTCATTCGTTCAGAAATATAAGGAGTATTTATTTTGACTACCAAGTTCAGTGTATTCCCTCCCTCCTTGTTTTCTAAAAAAGTTTCATGTTACTTCCTCTGTCTCATAATATAAGACGTTTTTGCAAGTTGTTTTACCTTACAAAAATGTCTTATATTTTGGGACGGAGGGTGTAGCTTTTAAGACCATGAACTCAACGAGAACAACTGCTTCATTTTCTCCTTATTGATATGACTTCTAGTGTAGGGAAAAAAAACATGAATGGAGCTACCTGATATTTATCGACTTGGCGGGTTTTCTTTGATCATCTGCGGCATGCGCCTTCGAGAAGTGTTGACAAGTAAATTGCTCCACAACAGAACTTTTTTTTGTCCACATAGCGGTTTTAGGCACGCCTCCTGCATCTATTGGACTATCATCATATCATACAACAAATGACGTGCCATAGCGAATCAACCTGTGGTTGAGTTGGTTAGGTGGACAGTGGTATCGCCAACCCACCAGGGTTCAAATCCTGGTGCTCGCATTATTCCTGGATTTATTTCAGGATTTCCGGCGATGCGCTTTCAGTGGGAGGAAACGTTCCCGTCGACGATAAGGCGCCTACGGTGACTTCGTAAATCTCAAGATGATATGCCGGCTCAGTTTTTCGGAGGTGCTCATAGGGATAGGATGTGCGTGTGTGCGTTCATAGGGATGAGTGTATGCGCGTGTATATGAGCGCTTGTGTCTGTACTGATGCTAAAAAAAACAAATGACGTGCCATCATCTAAACAAAAGAAGATGACGTGCCATGACCCGTGGACTAGTGGTGTTTGTCATTGCTGATCTGGACAGAGCAGATGAACGCCAGACACAGATCCAATCCTGCATCGCTATTTGCAGTATGCTAACACGAATTCCGACAACATCTCAAGGTTCCTAAATGACAAGCAATTGGATCCCACATACATACAGTATATGTCTGTGATTGAGCACTCCGATGTGTACTGGTTGGGTGGAAAATCTCCCATAGTGGGCATCCTTTTCACCCATGTCTCTGTTGCAGCCTCAAAAACAAAAACAATGGTAAATTAAAAGTCTTTTTTTCGCTTGAGCGAGTAGGGATGCTTGATCATTTACCTCAACTTGTAGAGGAAGGAGGAGCCGTGAAAACATAACCAGCTTTTTCTGGAAGAACGAGCTCGGGTGCAAAAACTCCACATCCGATCAGTATAGAGTAATTTTCCTTCTCCTTTTCTTCATCTTCCCAAATCACTATGTGGCGGGATTACTTTAGGCTCCTTTTCTCCATCTCCATGCTTCCTTTTGCAAGTTTCTGATATCATTAGACGGCACAAGTCATAGTGATTCCAACTGCAGCACACTTGGAAGCAACCAAGAATTTTGCAGAGTTATCAAGGTAAGTCATATAACGGAAATAAGGAAAGGACGAGACTTGCCTGCTCCCATTCGTGCTCCCGCAAACGTGGCTTGATTTGATTGGAAGAAAATAAGGCCCGGCCCCACCCTCTGAAAATCAAGGGGGAGATGATTAGATTAAAAAAGAAAAAGAGAAAAGAATAACCGTAGGATAAAGTAGGAGCACGGATGAGAGCATGGAGAGGGAGTAGGCAAGCCGGATCCATAAGGAAATACGTTTTCAAGGCCATTTCACGTATGCTAAATTACAGCCAACAATATTCTTTTTTTGAATGGAATATGCTAAATCATTCCTTTGCATGCATGCTGTATAAACACCAAATAGCTAGAGGCCAAATATGCCATACAAGTCCACATCAATTCATACAACTCCAATCAATTTGTCCTTTTGTTTTGCACCGTAAGTTCTATCAATTGCAAGGACTAAAAAACAGTAGCTTTGGTTACTTCCATTTGGAGGATCTGCGTTGTATGGTTCAAAAGTCCAAACCTTGGCACCTTTTGTCTTAACTGCTGAAACCGTCGCTCCTGCATAGCCAAGTGAGCCCAACAGAAAAGATAAAAGGAGGGATACATCAATAAACCACCTTGGTTTTTTATACATGAAATTTTCGCCTCTACTATTGCTTACCATAGGTTTTCTACACATGAGTTTGATGGCCTCACAGAGCCGCAATATGAGGTAAAAATAAATTACTCGGCGCACGAGAACGGTAAAGGCCAAAACGGCCGAGGACAAGAAAATGGCTTCTCCATAGCAAAACGACAATACGCAAACTTGGTGGTCTATATTTCAGAATGTTATCCGTTTAGATCTTTTGGACAGCTTCATTCCCTTCAAAAGGGAAAACAACAAGCATAGGGATGATAGAAACATTGTGATTTGCATACTTGGCTCTAATGCACAGGTTTAAGAGGCACTGCCAATGCCAACTAATAATTCTGCCAGCAAACAGCTATAGGAGGACTTGATTTACTAGTCAAGGCAGTAAATCCACGAGTAATCACAGGTTTTCCTTTTAACTTTCCTAGGAAATACCGCGGATCTAGAAGATCAACCTAACGGTATTTTGGCATTTCCTAGTAGTGCTGAACTCTGATACAGTCCCTTCATATGCACAACTTCCAGAGCCGATATTATGACACAGAACATGAGCGTGCATGGGTATCAAGAACGAAATAGATGAACTCCCGACGAGAACTTCCATAACAGACACAAAAGAATAACGACAAGAGAGAAGATTTGACGAAGCTGGCTGCCAATCCCTTCAAGACAACCACAACAAATTTGTCATCCTACAATTAATCCTCATCCGTATGCAACATACACAAACAGTTAAATAAAGCCTGTAAGTTATAATAATGTAACACTTGAAAACTATAGTTGCGGGTAACAAGGACGCAAGGAACAAGGAACACATATGCAACAAAACCGATTGCTAAAAACATAAACAAAAAACAGAAATGAATTCTGCAGCCACTTTGCATCGTGTATGAACCTGGTGGTGAAAGGGCACTGAAACAATCGATGATAGCACGATCAATAAGCCTCTGTCAGGGCCTCTATTAACATAGGATTCTTGAGGATTTGAATCCTCAGGATTTTTTTTCCTGTATAGGTTGTTTGATTCATTGGTTTGTATCATTTCTTTCCTAAGGAATATTACACTAGATTTCATATGGAAGTTTCAATTGACCCTGACCTCTTGGAAAGATTTTACTTTTATTTTTCCTGTGGTGCCAATTCAATCTTCTAGGATTCAAGTGGGGTATGAATTTGCAATCCTATACTTTTCTTATTAATGCCCTTCCGAAATCCTGTGCATCAAAGAGGCCCTAAAGGATAGTGAGTAGCAAGCTTTGTTGTTGTTGGGAGTCTGGCTTTGTGCCTTGCCAGTTGCCACTTGCATCCTCACAAGGCTGGCACCACGAGTAAGAGGGTCCGGCAAGATTTTGATCCTCTGCTTCTGTCAATCCCCAGCTCCCTCTGTACGCCAGACCCCTACACTACTCCGGCCACAGTACTGCCTCGACATCATCCCCGGTGCACAGAGAGAAATCGGAGCATGGATTAATTCCAAAATATGAAAACATCAGTACATCACAAGGAAAATATATAAATGTTGCTGCACCATTCGAAAACCCCTAAACAGAAAAGCCCCAATTGATAATGTCATTTGCCACCCATGATTTATTTCCCAGATTGGCAATTTATGAGGGGAAGGGAAAAATGAACTAAAACAAGTCGAAATCATTGATGCAAAAATTCCGAAACACCCTCTGCAGCAACAGATCAACCTCTGCTTTGGAGACAAGGTAGCACTTGGTTAAAGGGGTATGATGAGACGGGAGCTAGAAAGATTATGCACATTCTTACACAAAAGATATATTGAAAAACTGACACTATTTCGCCTCATTGATGGAATCAACGCAATCACAAAATGATTACTTTGCCATCGTTTACAAACAGAGGAATTTGGACAGAGGTACATACAGTTGCCAGGTTTCCTGTAAAATAGTAAAGTTTATGGTTGACTTCTGCTGTTCATTTGTCAACAGGGGGCTCTTCAAGCCACTTGGCGCGAAACCCAGTTCCTTTGCAATCAGCACAACGTGAAAAGCCCTGAAATCAAATGAATATGTAATGTGTGCTACAATAATATACTCCCTCCGTCCCAAAATAAGTGACTCAACTTTGTACTAGCTTTAGTACAAAGTTAGTACAAAGTCGAGTCACTTATTTTGGGGCGGAGGGAGTAACATACTACTACCATCTAGTCAGGTAAATTTTTGTATCAATATCAAACATTTTACTGTTTTTTTTCCACATGAAATAGTCATGACATCAAACGCAAATGCAGGATTTGATCATGTACGACATAGAACAAGTTATAGACTTGTAGTTACACTACCTTTCCAGAGCAAATCACACATCTTGTATTTTTCGAGGGTACTTCACACAACATATTGTTGCCAAGGATAAAGAAGCCCGTGCCTGCACACCACCTGCACTCCACATCGCCAGTGGATTGACAAGATGAACAAGAAGTCGGACTTGGTTGCTGCATATCACCACAACATGAATGTAAGATTACAGCAAAGGGTAATGTTGTAAGAAGAATGAAAAATTGTGTAACCGTGCTGCAGTTTGACTTTGTTTTCCTATTACCAGAATCACAAGATGGAACTACAAGAAAGAAGAAACCATAACACTTATCCTGGTTGCCTTTTATGCAAGACAAATGCAAGTAAACAACCATATATTTCTTCTAAAGCATATTAAAACAATGTACAACCTACATCATATACCCGTTCAAAAGAACCTACATCATACATTGTTCCCTAGCTCCAGTTTTAGACAAGATGTGAACAAACTGTGGCACTCCCGTTTCCTGGTCCATCATGTCAAACTAGATCGTTGTCTATTATATTAACAGAATCTGCAAGCATTTACTTTGAGAAGGATTCCTGTTAGAATACATGATTCAAGATGGACCAGCGCCAATAAGCCTACCACTACACTAGTGCCCTCTGCAAAACTATGTGAGTTAGCAGTTAGTACCTCTTTAGTTACTACATGGATAACTAGTTGCAACTACTCATACATAATCAAGCTGTTCAAAGCTCAGTAGCTCACACAAAGTACATACTATATACACATTTGGTGATTGTGTGAAACAGTTCAGTTTTCTAGAATCACTACTATGTCTGATACATGCACTCCACAGTTCTGAGAGCTAGGGCCAACAGTGTCTGCAAACGCTTCATTCACCCTAATAAACAAACCTAACAATGGATCACAAATTCCCAACTAACATGTTTGAAGCAGAGTCAAAACTTTGTTAGTTGCAGAGGTGCAGCAAGCTTAATTGAACCAATGATTCCAAATACAGAATTCACCAGCCAACACCATCAATAAAATATATGAATCCCGAACTCTTGCGCCAAACGAATGTATGGGAAAACCTAACCAAGTTTTCCAAAAGGAGTATTTAATTCGGTACGTTCGCGCGAGAAATTCCCAAGCCTTCTGTTTAAGTTATTAATCTATCCTTAGCATTAATGAATGACAGGTGCTTTAGAATTAGTGCACAGAACCGTTAGGACAGCCCGGTGCATGTAGCTCCAGCTTGCGCAGGGTCCAGAGAAGGGTCCGACCGCTTTGGGTCTTTTGTACGCAGCCTTTCCCTGCATTTCTGCAAGCGGCTGTTTGCAGGACTCGAACCGTTCAAAAGAAAATTTAAAATCCAAAAAAAGAATTAGTTCACAGAACAGTGAGAAAGGATATAAGCACTCCTCTATAGTTGTATTCCTGGAACATCCGCCTTTTATTTCAGAAGGATTCCTGGTAGAATACATGATTCAAAGTGGAACAACCGCAATAAGCCTACTGCTACACTACCGCCCTATGCAGAACTACACGACTGATCAATTAGTACCTCTTTACGACATGGGTAACTAGTTGTAACTAGCAATGCAGAATCAAGCTGTTCAAAGCTCACATAAAGTACATACACATTTGGTGATTGTCTGGAACAGCTCATTCTAACAGAATCACCACTATGTCTGATGCATGCACTCCAAAATACTGACAGCTTTAGGGGCAACAGTGTCTGCAAGCACTTGATTCACCTCATCAACAAACAAAACTAGCAAGGGATCCCAAGTTCCCAAACTAACGTGTTTGAAGCAGATCAACATCTGAGAACTTTCCCACGAAGTGTATACTGTTGAGTAAATAGGCAATTTTTCGACTAATTTAATCCATAGATAAATCACTAGCATGGCATTGACAGAATTAACGACATACTGATTCTGATCTAGACAAGCACGTACTATGCAAACAGTAGACACATCTACACATAATGCTAGTACTGCTAATACGAAAATAAACAGGAGCGGGATAAACGTGTTATACCCTCCAGTAGGCTAGGCAGAAGCCGCGGCAGCGGTGGCAGCAGCGGCGTCGTCAGCTGCCTTCTTGTCGGCCTTGAGCTTCTCGGCGGCGAGACAGCCGGCTTCGGTCTGAGACATGGTGTTGACGAAGATGACGCGGATGTAGAGGAAGTAGCGGATCCGAGGCGAACGGTCGCGTGGTCGGTTCCCAAAAACCTATTCGCCTCTCTCCCGTACAGGATCTGGAGAGGCGGGGTTTCGGAGATCTGCTCTCCCGTCGACCGTGTACGTGGCGGACGGGATGGAGTCACCGGCGGCAGCAGCAGCAAAGGAACGGCGGTGGGCGTAGCGCGTGGAGCAGATGTCATCTGTTCGTGGCGGCTAGGGTTAGGAGACACCTCACACTTATATAGGCGCAACCGCATGGAGAGACATGGGCTCGACCCACGTCCGAGTCCGTGACAGCCCACGATCTGACGTCTCAGATCGTGGCCCGGCTGTCAGAAAACTATCCGTTACTGACTGGCAAAAATAAACGCATAGGTGTGAGCTCGGCTCGGCTCATTCCCGCAACCTGCGGCGCGTCGTAACGAGGCGTGGCGTGGCGAGGCGGGCGGCGGAGGAGGAGTGCGTGAGGGCCTCTTCTCTTCTCAAGCTCCAATAGCATGTGGAAGAGAAATCCTTATAAGGAGGTCCAACTCCTCTCCATCTTCCGGGGTGGGACCAAACTTCCCACTAGACCTAGTGCCACTAAACCCACATGGGCCCTTAGAGATTTTCAGAAATTGTTAGATGGGCCCTAGGCATAAATTACAGCTCCCGAATATTCAACCGACTGATTAATTTCTTATAACATACTCTATTTTTCTTTGCCAAATAAGCCAGCAAACGTCGACGTTTTCCCAAAGGTCTTCGTAGACCTCTTTCCGATGAAAAATCTTTTTTGTGTAATTCCAAATATAGCCTAGGGCCCAACTAACAATTTTTGAAAATCTCTAAGGGCCCATGTGGGTTTAGTGGCACTAGGTTTACTAGGAAGTTTGGTCCCACCTTAGAAGATGGAGAGGAGTTGGACCTCCTTATAAGGGTTTCTCTTCCACATGCTATTGGAGCTTGAGAAGAGAAGAGGCCCTCGCACACTCCTCCCCCGCCACCCGCCTCGCCACGCCTCGTACGACGCGCCGCAGGTTGCGGGAATGAGCCGAGCCAAGCTCACACCTATGCGCTTATTTTTGCCAGTCAGTAACGGAGAGTTTTCTGATAGCTGGGACACGATTTGAGACGTCGGATCGTGGGCTGTCACGGACTCGGGCGTGGGTCGAGCCCAAGTCTCTCCACGTGGCTGCGCCTATATAAGTGTGAGGTGTCTCCTAACCCTAGCTGCCACGAATAGATCACATCTGCTCCACGCACTACGCCCACCGTCATTCCTTTGCTGCCCCTGGCGCCGGTGACTCCACCCCGTCCGCCGCGTACACGGTCGACGGGAGAGCAGGTCTCCGAAACCCCGCCTCTCCGAATCCTATACGGGAGAGGGGCGAATAGGTTCTTGGAAAGCGACCACGCGACTGCTCACCTCTGATCCGCTACTTCCTCTACGTCCGCGTCGTCTTCGTCAACACCATGTCTCAGACCGAAGCCGACCGTCTCGCCGCCGAGAAGCTCGAGGCCGACAAGAAGGTAGCTGACGACGCCGCTGCTGCCACCGCCGCCGCGGCTTCTGCCTGGTCTACTGGAGGGTATAACACGTTTATCCCGCTCCTATTTACTTTCGTATTAGCAGTACTAGCATTATGTGTAGATGTGTCTAATGTTTGCATAATACGTGCTTGTCTAGATTAGAATCAGTATGCCGTTAATTCTGTCAATGCCATGCTAGCGATTTATCTATGGATTAAATTAGTCAAAAAATTGCCTATTTACTCAACATATACAAGTACACAGGCACTTGTCAAAACTTTGTTAGAAATAAGTCCTAGTATTGCACTTATTACTGCGGTATTTAATAAGTAGTTGCAGAGGTGCAGCAAGCACAACTGAACCAATGATTCCAAATACAGAGTTCGCCATTCAACACCGTCAACAAACTATATGAATCCTGGAATCTTGCGCCACTGAATTTATCAGACAACCAACAAAGTTTTCAAAAAGGAGTGTTTAATTGAGCAGATTCGCGCGAGAAATTCGCCACAATTTGCCTATTTCAGTTAAGGCATCGATAAGCAAGCATCAACGCGGAGAGAAAATTGGAGCAGAGATTCAGGCGCGCACCTTGGAGATGAGCCAGGCGCGGTCCATGCGCTTGGCGAAGTCGGAGGAGCTGCCGGGCGAGTCGACGGTGGAGGCCATGGGAGCGGCCAGCCGGTGCCCTAGCCGCCTGGGGGTGGGCGAGACGAGCTTCCGTATGCTCCCGGAAGGCGGCGGAGGGCCATGACCGTGGGCGGAGGAGGGAAAGGCAGCCGCGCAGGCGCCGCAGGCGGTCGCCGGCATCGGAAGTGGCTTCGAATCGTCGGAGAGGGGCTGAGACGCGAGAGAGCAGAGGCTGCTGCGGCCGTGGTCTTCCTGCAAGCCACGCGCGTTGTCACCGGTGTGAAGGTGCGCTGCTCGGCCGCTGACAGGTGGGACAGACGACCGTCGGGCCAATCGCGGGTCGCTTCTGGCTGCCGGGTGGTAGTTGCGATGCTGAGTTTTTCTTTTCTGCGATAATTAGCCTGGAAGAAAATAAGAAGCTGCAAACATTTTCAAATTTGCCATCTAAGGCTCCCTTCGCAATCCCTCCGCTCCGTAACTCCGTCGCGGAGCGGAGCGGCATACAGTACAAATATGAAGAGCGGCAAACAAGCTGCTCCACGCGCTTCGCTCTCTGGTGACAGAGCGGTGGATTGCCGAACACAACCTAACTCAAAGAATTTTCTCTTTTCTTCGAAGAAGATACAACTTTACCCCAGAATTCGAATATCAAATTTGATCACAAAAATTTATCCTAATGCATATAGCCGAAGGCGTAAAAGTAACCGTGCATTTCAAAACCTATTCGGCGCCTTATGCGCCCCTTACTAGCAATCTGGTACACAGCTCTCACCCCAAATCCCACGCTAGAATCAATTGGACAGGCCCATAAAGCTGAACCGTTCTGGTTTTTCCGTAGGTTTTGGGAAGCTCACAAGCTTCCAATTGGTTTTTCGTTTTATTCTATTTTTTCTTTTCCTTTTCCTTTATCTTTTTTGTTTTTTATTTCAGTTTTTCCTTTTTTATTTCTATTTCTTGATTCATAAATTTTTTAATTCATGAACATTAAAAATTCACAAACTTTCTCCAAATTCTTGAAATTTTCCAATTTCATAAAAATAATTCAAATTCATGATTTTTTTTAAATTCGTGAACCTGTTTTCTCAAATTCATGAACACTTTTTAGATTCATGGTTTTTTTCAATTTTTCTGAACTTCTTTTAAATTCATGAACTTCAAATTTGTGAACTTTTTTCAAATTAAAATTAAAAAACCATTTTTGAATATCATGAACTTTTATCAAATTTTACATGGACTTTTTTCGAATTCATGAACTTTTGTCGGATTTGCGAACTTTTTTTGAACTCGCGAACTTTTTAATTCACAAACTTTTTATAAATTTGTGAACTTAAAAAATGGTTTGAACATCGTGATCTTTCATTAGATCTGTGAAGATTTTTCTTTGATTCATAAAAAGTTGGGGAGTGTTTTTACTTAAACCAGTGTCTACTGCTTTTTTCCTGAACCAATAGCTACTAAGCAGTGGGCGAACCGCTTTGGTTAGCGTGCATGTGACGAGTGAGCGAACGAGAAGCAGGGTGAAAGAAAGGGAACCATGAGCAGCTAGCGAACGAAGGGGCGAGCGCAGGAAAAAATGGGACTCGACCCAGACGGAACGTTAATGAGGGCCAACAGGGGAAACCGACGCTACATACGTTAATTAGGAGCTTTCCCATGGCATTACCTGGGGTGTCTCGATGCAGCCCACTACTAGGGATGGCAATGGGTACCCATTACCCATATACCATGCGGATAAAAACCCTATTAGGGTAAGGATACGAGACAAAAAGCTACCCATGGGTATGTAAATAGGGAAATCTCAAACCCATCGGATAGAGCGGGTACGGGTATGGGATCATATAACCAATACCCACATGCCCATGTACCCTTAATCGAACAAGTACGGAAAAATTACCGCTACCCTTTGTCATGAGTTTGTGAACTTTAAAATGTATGATTATGTACTGTTGTTTATGACTGTGTGTTGATATTTTGATGTGTTGTTGTTTACAAGAAAGTGTTGACCTTTATAAAATGAGGTGTGTTTATGATGTGTTGTTGTTTATAACTATGTATTGATGTTATTATGTGTCATTGTTTACAAATTATGATTGTCTCTTGTTGTTTATTGTTATGTGTCGCTCAAATTGATATATGCGAACATGGGTATTTTTACCCACGGGTACCCATTTACCCTGTCGGGCGACCGGTATGAGAAAAATCTGTACCCACTAGCGGGTATGGGTACGGGTGATGCTGGAAAACGTAGCATGCAATTTCAAAATTTTCCTACGCTTACGCATGATCTATCTAGAAAATGCATAGCAACAAGAGGGGAAGAGTGCGTCCACGTACCCTCGTAGATCGAAAGCGGAAGCGTTTGACAACGCGGTTGATATAGTCGAACTTCTTCTCGTTTCGACCGATCAAGCACCGAACGTACGACACCTCTGAGTTCTGCACACGTTCAGCTCGATGACATCCCTCGAACTCTCGATCCAGCAAAGTGTCGAGGGAGAGTTTCGTGAGCACGATGGCATGGTGACAATGATGGTGAAGTGATCCGCGCAGGACTTCGTCTAAGCACTACGAAGATATGACCAGAGGTGTAATCTATGGATGGAGGCACCGCACACGGCTAACAGATGTTGTTGTGTGTTCTAGGCGCCTCCCCCCTCATAAATATATAGGTGGGAGGGAGAGGGAGCAGCCAAGGGGTGCCCAAGTAGCAGAATCCTACTTGGGGCCCTAGTGCAATCCCCCCTACCATAACTTCTGAAGGAGGAAGGAAGGAGGAGGGAGGAGGGAAGGAAGGAGGAGGGAGGAGGGAAAGAAGGGGGAGGCCGAATCCCTCCCCTTTCTTTCTCTCTTCTCCTCTTTCCTTCCCCTCCTATTTTGGCCTACATGGGGAGCACCAGCCCTTAGGGGCTGGTCTATCCTCCTCTTGGCCTATTAGGCCCATGTAGTTGCCGGGGATGCCCGGAACCCCTTCCGGTTACCCGATATGTATCTGGTACCCCCGGAACACTTCCGGTGTTCGAATACCATCATCCTATATATCAATTTTTACCTCTCGATCATTTAGAGACTCCTCGTCATGTTTGTGATCTCATCCGGGACTCCGAACAACATTCGGTCACCAAATCACATAAATCATATAATACAAAACCGTCATCGAACGTTAAACGTGCAGACCCTACGGGTTCGAGAACTATGTAGACATGACCGAGACACCTCTCCGGTCAATAACCAATAGTGGAACCTGGATGCTAATATTGGTTCCTACATATTCTACAAAGATCTTTATTGGTACCGTAATGACAACATTATGTTATTCCCTTTGTCATCGGTATGTTACTTGCCCGAGATTTGATCGTCGATATCTACATACCTAGTTCAATCTTGTTACCGGCAAGTCCCTTTACTCATTCTGTAATACATTATTCCGCAACTAACTCATTAGTCACATTGCTTGCAAGGCTTATTATGATGTGCATTACCGAGAGGGCCGAGAGATACCTCTCTGATACTCGGAGTGACAAATCCCAATCTCGATCTATGCCAACCCAACAAACACCTTCGGAGATACCTGTAGAGCATCTTTATAATCACCCAGTTACATTGTGATGTTTGATAGCACACAAGGTATTCCTCCGGTATATGGGAGTTGCATAATCACATAGTCGAAGGAATATGTATTTGACATGAAGAAAGCAATAGCAAAAAAACTGAATGGTCAACATGATAAGCTAACAGATGGGTCTTGTCCATAACATCATTCTCCTAATGATGTGATCTCGTTCATCAAATGACAACACATGTCTATGGTTAGGAAACTTAACCATCTTTGATTAACGAGCTAGTCTAGTAGACGCTTACTAGGGACACGGTGTTTTGTCTATGTATCCACACATGTATCAAGTTTCCAGTTAATACAATTCTAGCATGAATAATAAACATTTATCATGATATAAGGAAATATAGAATAACAACTTTATTATTGCCTCTAGTGCATATTTCCTTCAGTCTCCCACTTGCACTAGAGTCAATAATCTAGATTACATTGTAATGATTCTAACACCCATGGAGTCTTAGTGTTGATCATGTTTTGCTCGTGAAAGAGGCTTAGTCAACGGGTCTGCCACATTCAGATCCATATGTATTTTGCAAACCTCTGTGTCTCCCTCCTTGACTTGATCACGGATGGAGTTGAAGTGTCTCTTGATGTGTTTGGTTCTTTTGTGATATCTGGATTCCTTCGCCAAGGCAATTGCTCCAGTATTGTCACAAAAGATTTTCATTAGACCCGATGCACTAGGTATTACACCTAGATCATATATGAACTCCTTCATCCAGACTCCTTCATTCGCTGCTTCCGAAGCAGCTATGTACTCCGCTTCACATGTAGATCCCGACACGACACTTTGCTTGGAACTGCACCAACTGACAGCTCCACCATTCAATATAAATATGTATCCGGTTTGTGAGTTAGAGTAATCCGGATCAGTGTCAAAGCTAGCATCGACATAACCATTTATGATGAGCTCTTTGTCACCTCCATAAATGAGAAACATATCGTTAGTCCTTTTCAGGTACTTCAGGATGTTTTTCACCGCTGTCCAACGATCCACTCCTGGATTACTTTGGTACCTCCATGCTAGACTTATAGCAAGGCACACATCAGGTTTGGTACACAACATTCCATACATGATAGAACCTATGAATGAGGCATAGGAAATGACTTTCATTTTCTCTCTATCTTTTGTAGTGGTCGGGCATTGAGTCTGACTCCACTTCACACCTTGTAATACAAGCAAGAACCCTTTCCTTGACTGATCCATTTTGAACTTCTTCAAAAGTTTTTCAAGGTATGTGCTTTGTGAAAGTCCAATTAAGCATCTTGATCTATCTCTATAGATCTTGATGCCCAATATATAAGCAGCTTCACCGAGGTCTTTGATACGTCTCCGTCGTATCTACTTTTCCAAACACTTTTGCCCTTGTTTTGGACTCTAACTTGCATGATTTGAATGGAACTAACCTGGACTGACGCTGTTTTCAGCAGAATTGCCATGGTGTTATTTATGTGCAGAAACAAAAGTTCTCGGAATGACCTGAAACTCCACGGAGCATCTTTTTGGAAATAATAAAAAATATTGGTAAAAGATCAAGACCAGGGGGCCCACACCCTAGCCACGAGG